ATTAGACAGTCCTAGAAAATAATTTCTACTAATGAAAAGTATGCTAAAAGCTGTAAATCTCATCAAAATACTTTGTGCTTTGACAAAGCACTATTTTTCAGTGAACTTGCTGTTAATCAGAAATGCTTTAACCATCTCTTATTAAAACTACTGAGGCAAACAGTGTTTCTATTACAACTAGCCGAGATGGCACAATTTCTATTTTTGATATTAAATGATCATTTTCTTCATTGTAGTAAGTCTGCAGCACAGACTTACTTTAAAGGCTCACATGTGAATGCTTATTGTCTGTATAGAGGATTATCAGAGCTGTTGTTTATGAGTGGAGGTAGAATGGGTAAGTATCTAGCTTTGCGGATTTAAGGATATCTACATAAAAGATATCCACTGTTTAAAGTGAGTTTTATTCAAAAAAATAAGATCAAGACATACAGGTAAAAAGCCAGAGCATTAAATCTGTCTTGACACAAATTATTGACAAAAACATTAAAAAGTTTAAACTTTTCATTTCAGATTTCTAAAGAAATGTTTATATTCATGTTGTACTGCAAAACAATGCTGGAGCTTGAGAGCAGGTATTGGACAAGATTAAGAAAATCACTGTTCCACAGCCATCAACTTACGATAGCTAGCGTGCAATTAAGACAAAAATGTGTAACTGCTGGGTGGAGATAAACATGCAAAACTTGTATGTTAACATAAAGCAAATACTTTTGATTTATATTGTTCTGTCTGGTCCTTATGAGAAGACAACGCGATACGGACACTTACGTGAAGCACACATCCTTGTGAGTGTTTTGGGCTCGGACAGGCCCTCTAGCTCTCCTCATATTCTTCTTCGCTCCCCTCAGCTTGTGCAGTCACTCATACAGAGTGTTCTCAACAGCTTCCATCCCTGCTTTAGTATCACCTGAGCATACACTGCCCCCAAGCCCGGCATGTCTGCAGTCGGACCCATTAGTCTCTCTAGTTGCTAGGAAGATCTGGAACTGGTTAGGCAAGACTTACACTGAAAATAATTTTCAACAGCGGGAGGACAAGGATACTTTATCAGAGCAGGCAATACTTGCTCTGCTTTGACTTCTTGTTCCACTTGAAGTTTTTTGTTACGTGATATAATGCACTTTGGGAACTAGCAAATACACGATCACATCAAAAAGGTTCAGTGGCTTCCTTTAAACATGCATTGACAACTTCGGGTGATCTGACTGTTTTAATGTACCCAGTAAGTCTTGAAAACATCCTTTTATAGAGAATCCCATTTTTCCCAAAGAGTCACACACCATGCAATCCTTCTGCTGTTAAGACATGGCCTACTTTGAAACGCTGTTGATGAGATATTACTCGGTTGCTACCGGGCCTGTGCAGAAATTCCCTCGCAGATGATTTTCTTTAAGAGAGTACAAATGACAGCCTCTGGTGTCTCAGTTCCAGCTGTCCAGGTTCCCAAGGCTTCCAGGATCCTGCCTTGCCAGCTGAAAGTTGTTTGAAAATGAGTAAAAAGAAGATTATTTAATTAAAATTTTTGTCAAAAATGTTATTACAGCATTTCTTTGGAAGTTTGTTTCATATTGAAACGAGCCTCCAGTTCAAAATTTTACAATCTCCTGTAGAAGAATATTACCTTTACAGTCATATCTCAACTTGCAAATCCCTTCCAGTGTCTAGTCCACTTTTTTAGAGAGCAACTATGACTCTACTTCCATTTTCACTTCAAGTCGCCTTAGCTCTTCTGACATGAGTGGACAGCTGTTATATTACAGAGCAAGTAAAAGGCATTACTGAATGTCCTGAACAAACATTTTTATTTGAGATCCATGAATGGTAGGTTTTGAATCTGATGAAAGTTACTTTAGAAGTTCTTCATTATGAATTTTCCCAGCAGCTCCTGAGGCATAATTAAATTTTTGAATGCTGACTTCCTAGTAGGGTAGAAGACATCCAGATAAATCTTATTTGTGATATGCATAAAATACTACATCTCATGAGAGTTATTGTTTCTGCAAGCTCCTTTTAAATCATGTTAATCTTGGTTAATATTTTCGTTTCCTGGAGGTAACCAAAGCCACTAAAAAATACAGAGGGAGTCTTGGCTTCTGCATGCATAGAAAATTCCAAATCAGCTATCGCAGGACAAGGTCTTTAGAAAGAAATAGGTAACACCTGCATTTGTATAATAAGGAGAACAATGCTCAGTGCGCGGTTCGTGCTAAGTGCTTTTGCAGTGATTGAATCACATTTTCCATGTGTAATGTTCTATGGGAAAGCAGTGAAGGCAACTGAGATATAATATTACACATTATAAACTATTCTCCATCACTGTAAAACTAATTGTGAGAGGTGTAGCTCCCGGCAGAGATACCTACATTGTTAAACAGGTGCCCTTGCGTTTAGAAGGTATAAAAATACATGTCATACAACGGATTTGCCTTATAAGACATCCTGAAGCAATTACTTTTACTTGTCTGTCCTTCCAGTGATGATAGCACACGCTCCCGCTCCGGTTTTTCTCAGTCTGGGCTGGAAACAAAAAAAAAACCCATCATTGCTAATGATCTGTAGCCAAATACATGTATTAGCATGTAAAGTATTCAAAGCTCTAAGAAAGGTACTCATGGTGATCTCTGAGCCCAAACCACGTCAAATTGTTGTAACAGATATTAATGTTTTAAAGTAATTCTTTTCTCTTTGTCTTAGGTCAAGGCACTCTCCCCCATTTCAGTTTCCTTACTTCACAGACAAGTTTATAAATCATACATTTTGTACAAACCCTCTCCACAATTTTCTGTGAAGACATGCAGCATGCTACAGCACATGTTAATCTTGAGTTTTCAGTTTCAGTTTTGCAGCTTTTTGTTACACTGTTTTTACTGAGTTCCCTGATGTAAGAAAAGAATTCACAATATAAGGATTTTGAAGCTAATTATTATGACATTTAATAACTACTTTCACTCTCTGGATTTATTTTTACTCATAAATATGAAAGTTAAATCAAACTACGAAAAAAAGAATATTATGAATGCACTGCTACTGATCCATAACATTTTCATACAAGTGATGAGCTGAACACGGATTCTTCCAATTCCATAAGGCAAAAGCTTTTTAATCTTTTTCCCACTGCCCACTTCTTTTTTTCCCAGCTGCTACCCTAAGCTTGGAGGATCAGGGTTCTTTTCCCCTCTTTGTTCATATAAAGTTTGCTTTGTGGTGAGACACATGGTTAAACTCTTTAGCACTGTTTTTTGCACAAATGTCTGTACTGTATTTGTGAACTGGCAGAGGGGTAGAAGACAGTTTTGGATTCATTTGACTCTGATATGATGTTTGACAGAGTGGTGACTCTAGCCTTATTATTTTTCCATGTAAGCAAGGAACAGACAAGCCAGTGTTAATCTATTTTCAGCATGTAACTAGACCGCTGTGTAGAAACAAGTAATTAAAAGATACAATGCCTACAATCAATTGCATACAGGTTATCTTTGATTGCTCTTGCAAAGGACAAATTACACACAAGCCTTTTGCAAACCAAGTGGAAAAAAATAAGTTCCATTATCTTCCTTTTGAACTCACTTCTCAGCGAAAACAAGGACGTTTCTATTCCAAACCTCCTGGTTTAATTAAAAGGACACAAACATCAGATGATGTTGCAGTATATCAAATGTTGCCCTGAAACAGCAAGTGATTGAGTAGTTGGGGGTGGGAGAATTTCTTCTCCATAAAGGCTGGTCTTTCTCACTCCGGCCATCTGTTTGCTCATGGTGAAAAGCCCTTTTGCTGGTGTCCTGGCACTGCTTTGTCACCATGTGCTCGAGGGACATTCAATCTTGCATCTTATACATGCTGCTCTGTGACACTCTTCAACAACGGAGCTTTTGTTCTGGCTAAGAGTCTCCCTGGTCAGAACTGCTAACTTGGACATCAATATTCTTCAGGGATTGTCCAGGAAATCATCCAAACAGAAGGAAAAAGAAGGAGAACACAAGCCTTTGCATATAATCCCTCAACAGTTTCTAACCTGCCATATTACATGTTCAGAGTGCCACGGGAAGGCCCTTTCTGCACTATTTAAGCACATCTTCCATTTATTTTCATCAGTAAGCAAGCTATCATTTAAACATTTCTGGTAAATACTTGTTTCTGTAACTATAATGATATTTATTATATTACCATTATTTATTTTGTACATATAATACTATGTATCTATTGCTCATTTTTATTCATTTCAACTAAATACGACATTATAATAACTAAAAAAAAAACATGAGAGACATATCAGCAGGCATATTCCAGCCGAAGAAATAGTACTGCAGTAGTTTTAGGAATCCTTCTCCCGGGAGAGAAAGAGTTTAATGGGCAAAATGTAATGTGGATTTCAAATTAATTTCAGCCAGAGCCTTTGAAGGTAGATAGGATGCATAAGCGCTGAGGTATGCTTGAAACAATTACCAACTTAGAGGTCCACATGGAACCCATTAAAATAGTTTAGCAGTCCTTGGGAAAAAGGGAAAATTATTTTCATAATTGTTCCCACTGTAATCGCAAAGGAAAGCAAGTCCATCTTTTTGCTGGCCTATGCTACCATGCGCTCTCCAGCATCTCTCCTCTAAGCCTTGTTTATGCATCAACATGCAGGTAGATTTAGATCTCTGATGCAACCTCACTGCGAAGCTGATGTTGGCTGTCTCCTGGAGCGTAGCAGTAATCTGTAAGCATTTGTGCCTCTTCCCCCTCTGTTTTTCAACAGCTCATATGTAGCAAAACTACAGCCTTCAAAAGGAGTATGTTAATGCTCTTAGCATCAGTGTCTGGGGCTGCTGTTAAGAAGCGGAGCAGGGAACCAAAAAGGAGCATGGAAAGCATTCCAGAGAAAGTATCCCAGAAATAAAAAGAAGTGGAAATGCTTCTGAATTCACAGAGATGTATTACCCTGAGCTATCCCCTAGGTGAACAAAGGTGAGATGGGTGAGGAACCCCATATATTAATATTAAGGCCCTCTGAATCTAATTGCTTTTACTGAAGGGAATAATAAGGCTGAGGAATAAATGAGCTGTGTATGGTATGGATTGGTGAGTATTTGACATTCATTGCCTAAAGATCAAGTAAGTCACAAATTACTAGAAAATTCTCCACCTTCTGTCTTGTCAATGCCAGGTCAAAGCAGCTCAAATTACAGCAGCACTGGGCTCGGTGTCTGCTGGAAGCCTGAGGAAGACCCTGATAAAGGAACACACATCAGAACAGCAGGCAAAGTGGTAAGATGCTCTACAACCACTTTAGGCTCACACGACATCCTACAGGCATTAGGTGTGATTACGGTCTGCTCTTGGGCTTTGATTTATACGTCTGGAGACATCAGGAAAACAGAGCCATTGTGTGCCTGGCCCCTGTGCTGAATCTCCAGTATTATGGCTGGGGGACAGCCACTGCGCCGGTCCCGGGCTCCTTCGCG